TTTTTGGTGGAACCGGGGATTGAACTCAGATCCTTGCGTTTGCCGGTCAAGCGCTTATCCTACTGAGCCATCTCCCTAGCCCCCTAAAAGCTTTTAATGAGCTAACAAGCCTTTAGTGTGGAAGCAGAAGCGGTAAGTGGAATCAAACACCACTCACTAGTATTTGGGGTTTTTCTTTGTGCAGTATAGTTATATATGCAGCTCGGTAGTTGATTATATTTTCTTTAAATGAAATATTAGTTATTTTTGTTTGTATTTCTTAGAGAAGGGTTTACAAGGTGTTCAGGGTCCCACTACTAGATCAGACTTGTAGTGATCTGCCTGTTTACAGCCTCCCTAGTGCTGGGATTACAGACACGCCCCACCATGCCCCCCTCTCAATCTCTGTCTCAGTGCACCCCAGGGGCGGGGCTGGTACAGCAGGCCTGGGGATCGAACCCCCGGCCCCTGTTCCTACTTGCAGGCATTATAGTTCAATGAGCCACTTGGCCGGCCCTGAAATATTAGTTATGTTGTTGTTTAACTTTTAAATAATATTTCACAATTTCATTCATTAAATGCAGAATTACAAGAATACACTATTTCAGTGCAGTTCTGAAGCTTAAATTAGCTGATTATGGGCAAATAAATACATGAAAAACAGTTCAAAATCATTGTGTATTACAGAGATGAAAAATAAAGCAATACTTAGATTCTGATCCCAGAAAGAATGTTTATCATCAAGAGATACAAATACTGGTGGGGGTTGGGGGGATGCTATGTGGGAAAAGGGAACCTCTCTCCAGTGTTGGTGGGGTGTAACCTCTGTGGGTATTGGTGTGGGGATTCCTTAAAAAAGCTAGAATGCGAGGTGCCATTCAACCCAGCTATGTGCCTTCTGCGCATACCTTCACAAAAGAATTAAAGACTTCACACCCAGCCATATAAGGGCACCCATGTTATGGCAGCATAATTTGTCAGAGCTAAATCTTGGAAGCAACCCAAATACCCATCAACTGAGGAATGGGCTGAAAACACAAGCTTGAAGCTTTCATAGGTAAATGAATGCAACTAGAGACCATATTCATCAGTGAAACAAATCAGACTCACATGTGTAAACGTAGTATCTTCTCCCTAGGATAAGCAATTAAAACAGTAAATAAGATCCAAATGCTACAATAGATATGTGAAAGGGAATGAAGCTGCTCTTAAGGAAAGAACAACTGGGACAGGGGAAAGGAAAAAAGTATTTTCAAATATCATTAATATAAATCCTAGATTTAATTTTGTTTTTATTGCAAGTTTGATCAGGAATAGATTCTATGTGATTTGTAATGTTCATCTTTACATGACCTAAAAGTTTAGTGTGGTTTAACTTTTAAAAGTGTGTGTTTTGGGGCTGGCCAGATAGTTTAGCAGATTAAAGTACCTGCTTAGGCAGACACAGGGACCTGGGTGTGATCCCTGTCCTGCCATACCAGCTCCACCCAAGGGGCTCACTGAGAAGGCAGTTGAGACTGGACATGGTGGTGCATACCTGTAATCCTAGTGTTTGGGAGGCTGAAAACAGGAGGATCACTGAGTCCGATCTGAGTAGTGAGACACTGTAGACCTTGCAATAAAAAAATACATTAAAATTTTTTGTATTTTCAGCCAGGTGTGGTGGTGCATGCTTGCAATCCCAGCACTCTGGAGGCTGAG